TATAGGTTAATTTAAGTTTTAAGAGTTTATTTGTAATAAGCCTGAACAATAGGCCAAACAGTTTATAATTAACATAAACCTTTGTGTGTTTATTTGGAACTGAATGGTTGCAGGACAGGGCAGGACAGAAACTTCTGTCTACATCCATCTTCAGACTACAGGCCTAGAATATCTGATAGACTTCTATAGTCCTACCATGCCTTGGCAAAGTTTAGCAGTTGCCTTCTTTTGTGTCCTGTTTGTCAAAATTTGACAGCATACTGTTAGCAGTCAAGGCAAGGGCAGTTTCTTGCCCAGATGGCTAGCTTTGCTATATTGAAAGCAAACTCCCATATGGAGGTTCTTTGATGCCCATCATCCTATTTTGAAGTAAATTGGAGTTGCCAGGAGCAGATGTGTCTCACAATCATGAAAAGCCTTATGTTATTAAAACATCTTAAATACCATGTTCTGTAGGTCTCTGTAGTGTTTGAAGACCATGTCTCTATTTAAAATCTATCTCTGTTTAACCTTGAAAAAATAGTTATCATGACTACAAGTTTGATTATTATAGATGACTAACCAGTAACCTGCATTTCTGAATTATCCTAAATAGTTTATAATAATAATTTAGAAGAACTAGAACTATACATTACATTTTTAAATGAGCTGTATAGGTACAATACCTTAAATATGAGAAGATACATATATACAGTATAGCAAAAATAACTTTATATTTGTACCAGTATACAAAAATATCTTTTTTGGTTTTTTTTGGACAGGAAAGGATTTATTTGATTTATACTTCTACATTGCAGTCTATTATTGAAAGAAGTCAGGACAAGAACTTAAACATGGCAGGATTCTGGAGGCAGGGGCTGATGCAGAGGCCATTGAGGGATGCTGCTTACTGACTTGAGACATGGCTTTCTCAGCCTGCTTTTTTTTTTTCTTTTTTTTTTTAAGACCTTACATATTTAATACAGTGCGTTATCCCTGTACAAATGGAAAAAATTAAGTTCAACGTTTCTAGACCAATATGGCTGTTAATTTTTGTACAATGCCAACTCAACACGGTAAACTGGGATACTTTTTTCCAAAGTTGACAGCACAGCTAAAGTTTCCAAAAATTCAAATTATATATATAAAATATCTTAAACAAGAGTAGAAACATAGAATATGTTCTAACAAAAATAACCTTAAATTTGTATCAATATACTATAATCACCACCTTTTTTTCAGACTAAAAAACAAACGCAGTGTCTCCCAGTAGCTGTTGTTTTTTGTTTATCAGCATTTAAAAAATTCAAGATCAACAAAGCACCATACAGAATCCAGAAACACTATTTTTAATCTTTATGGTTTTATTCCTTTTATATTACTTTACTCTCTCCTTAAAGTCTTTATTGTTTTTAAACTATTATATTTTTATATTGACTCTCTATGCCCATTTATCTTTTTTTTTTCTTTAACACTTAAGCATATTCAAACATATTGTATCAGTTTAGAGGTTTTCTCAGTCTGGACCTCACTTTTTGCATATCTGTAGTCTTCTCTAACTGAATGAGCCAAACATTAATGTGCTAGGCTACCACCTCCAGGCTCTGGTGGCTGGCTCCACCCACCTCAGTTCCCTGATTGCCTAACCTCAAACTGAAGGTACTGCTGGGACCAGCACTTAACCTCTCTAGCTCTAGGAACTTGCTGAACCCATTTTCCAGAGTCCCCATAAGCAAAAAAGGGACTGCAGTGGTGCTGACTGGTATGACTTCTTAGTTCTTGTGGTTGTACCTAGCATTGGAGTACCAAATGTAGCAAGCTTTCTTGTTGGACTATCTTTGGATAACCAGCCCCCAAATAATGACTTGGGAACTTATTATTATTATGGAATCTTGACCTTGGCTTAAGCTTGTTTTCAAAATTTATTTTAAAGATTAATTAATTTATTTCAAGCTTATTTTAAAGATTTATTTATTTATTAAGTAAACAGAATTCTGCCTGCATGTGTCCCTGCAGGTCAGAAGAGAGCACCAGATCTCATTACAGATGGTTGTGAGCCACCATGTGGTTTCTGAGAATTGAATTCAGGACTTCTGGAAGAGCAGTCTTAACCACTTAGCCATCTCTCCAGCCCCCTAACTCTTATAACTTAATTAACCCACATTTTTAAATCTATGTTCTGCCATGTGGCTCTGTCTCATCTCTGTACTGCACCTCCTGCTCTCAAAAGACTCTGGCAAAATCTAGATTCCTCCTCCCTGCCTCCCTGCCTCCCTGCCTCCCTGCCTCCCTGCCTCCCTG